TCTCTAGTATTTTGTTACCTAAGAGCACTTAGTGATGCACATTATTGCATCTTTCAGAAGACCAGTGCAAGATTTCCACGTTCTACTCCATAATTTTCCTCTTCACTTAGATTTTTACATGGCCAAATAAATAACTCTTGAAGTCTAGATCCCAGCAGAGGAGTCTGCAAGGACAGTCCAGAAAATATTTATCCTAAATACTAACTGAAGTTCTCTGACTGCCATCTCTGTGGCTACAAATGAAAAGAAAAAGGCATTAAACCAACACCTCCTCCTCTTTATTTTCCAGAACTCAGTTCCAGAAAAGTAGCAAGATAATTCAAAACTAACAGACAAAAATATTTTTAAATGTATGGAAGAATTTAGAAAAACACAAAGTTAGTTTTCAACAAGGTAAGCTTGACATTTAACGTAAGCCTAACAAAAAAAATCTCAATATATTATTGAAAATCTAAAAGCAATGAGGGTCAGCAAAACTACTAAAGTTGACAACAGCTGTGTTAGGTCTATATAGTCTACACATCAAAATTTAATAATAAAAGGAGGGGTGATGGCAAATATTATTATGCAAACTTGTTAACAGTGTAACTAGCTATTGATACATTCAGAAATCAGTTATTACTTACATTTTATGGAATAATGTTTTCAAAACTATGGTGTAGCAAAACAAACTGTTTTTATTGCCAATAAAATGAAAGTTTATGTTGCCTGTCAATTACTGAAGTGAAATTTATTGAATCATACTGAATTATGGAAGTGGGACCTTTATACACATTTGTAGAAGTCACTGGAAGTGGTAGATAATAACAGTAATGAGAGAATAATAACAATAACTCCAGATCAATAAGGACCTTTTTAAACACGTTATTATGTACTTTCTGAAAGTCCATAAAAAACTTGGAGAATAAAATTAATAATTACCTAAGATTTTCAGAGCGCAACAGTTTTCATATTGGAAGTATGATAAAAGATGTAAAGAAACCATTTTTTAAAGTCATAGTTAATCATCATTTAAAAATAAAGGTTTCATGGGTGATAAAGTTATCTGTACACCAAACCCCTGTGACATGTAATTTAGCCATGTAACAAAACTGTACATGTACCCCTTGAAACTAAATAAGAGTTGGAAAGAAAAAAAAGATAATATGGAATATATTAAAAAAAAAAAAAAAGCTTTGTTATCACATGGACCTGATTTTGACTCCAGTTCCACTAGACTTTGTGACCTTTGGCATGTTATTTAATTTCTCTGAGCCTCAGTTTTGGTGCCCATAAAATGGGGATAATAAATATGTATGTTGCAGTATTGTTTTGAGAATTAAAGATACTATTTGCAAAAATAAATAAAATAAAAAGTTTCGAAAATCAGAAAAATAAATTGTAATTAAAATATTTTCCTCAAATTCATTCTTATTATTCAAACAATCTTACATATCCACTTCACTTCTCTTCTGCTTCCATAATGGGGCTTTTTCAAGATTTGAAATATAGAGTTATATTAATGAATGCACTGCTTACTCAGTTGCTCACACTATCAGTAAACAAAACATGACCACATTATTACCGGGGTAGAGTTGCAAAAATGCAACAGACATATACTTCTCACTGGAGTTTCTAAATACTTATTACTGGCTCTTAAAATAAGTAAATATTGTATTTAAGAAACAGCTATCCAAATATTTCACATTTTTTTAACTAGGAAGAAAACTTTTAGCATAGCTAATTATTTTTCGAATTAACTACTTTTATATTCTGAAGACATTGTTTGTATTATTATAGTAGCTCTTTTAACCACTTGAATTTCATACAAATTAGAGAAAATAAACCAACTATCATTTTTAAAAATTTTAACACATCTGTTATGGCTAAGAATATATGTGTCTTTATAATTGTATGTTTGGAACTTTTCCCCCTTGTATATATACCACCATGGTATGGTTATTTGATGCATGTTAAGAAAAAAATCAAGGTGCTACTTGATTGTTTATGACCATGAAAATATGAATGTAAAAAAATAATTGTTAATCTTAAATGATGAAAACTTATTCATTTAAATATTCTTGGATAGACCACATACTCAAGACAGAATTCCAAATAGGACTTTCTTTATGTCTAGACTGAGACAGATGCTGCAAAATTAATTTAGTAATCCAAGATTGTAAAAATACCCATATTTTAGCATCACATAGAAAGTTCTAGAAAATGTAACAGGTTGTTTTCAGTTTGTGATTATTTGTCACGATTTAGATAGTAAAATGTTTGAGGTCAGCTAGTGATCCAATGCCAGTTTAATTTGTGGATCTTCTTTCTCTCAGTCCTCACCCTTAACTTGGGAACCTTCTCTCCTTGCAAAATAGACACTTTTTCTCCCATCCCCCCACTCCCACCCCACTCTCTCAGTCAGCAGTTGAAAAAATCTGCACAATTAAATCAATCTAAATCCCTGTGGGTTGCTTGATGGATTAAAAAAAAATTTTTTTTTCCATGAGAAGCCAGTAGGCGGTGCTAAATGTAGGCTACTACCTTCAACAATTTTAAACCAAAAACTAAACAGGTGGCCAGTCTAAGAGTTGTAGAATTTCCAGTATGATTCGTACAGGAAGAAATCTGAAAGACTTGAATGTAATAGATAGAAATGTAATACAAGTATACAACATAATTAAAAATGAATCTTAAATAAATGAAAACATAGATAACTAAAGGTTCTTAGAATGATATTAAGTTACAGAAATCAAAGCACAACTACCTCTCTATCCTCACATTAAAATTATTTTTGTTCCCATTTGAAACCATTTGATATCAAATGGTTTCAATCTCATTGAGAAATATCATATAGTACAGCCAGTGCTTTGCTCAATCTTAAGACAGAAACTACCTCAACCTTAGGGCAGCAACTGATTGTCTTAACGAAAATGCAGGTTAGATAATTCAAGTTCTTTCTTGCTTGCTTGCTCTGTCTCTTTCTCTCTCTCTTAAAAGAATGAAATGACTCACAATGCATAAAGTATACCAAATATATTATACACAAATATTCTCTTGCATTTTTAATGAATGAGCATTTCTATATACATACCTTGTTATAATTAAAATGATTTTTAAAATCTCAGAATGTTGCAAATAGCTTTTTTTAATGTTTCATGTTAGCAGTTTGAACCATATGAAAGACTACATTTTAGTAATTAGCTCACCATACAAAATAAGAAAATACTAATTTCAGGCTTAGTGCCATCATATTGACTTTAAATCTTAGAAGCACACACATCAAGATATCAAATATAGTGTCCACAAACAGTGACATAAACTATCTTCTTTATATAAATGCAACAGGATTTCCTTCACAGGGAAAAGCTACTCTGAGAACAAAATAACTCACAATGAAGTGTCCAAAGTCTTTTGAGATATTTGTATTCGTTATGAATAAAAAGTATATACAGCTTTCCAGATATAATAGTAACTTTTAATCTTCTACAGAAAAATGGCCCTGTTTTTTACCACAAAGAGTAAAAAAATAAGTCATAAAACTCTTCATTCCACAAACTGAGGTTAAACACAGTGAAATATTTGCTTGAAAAAGTCTGTGTACTTTGTCCTAGACCTCTCTATATGTTGGAGTTAGTTTGTATTTCTGTAGTTACCTAGAAGAAAACTTCATCTGAGAGGTAAAAAGTTGTTTTATCTGCCTTATGTTTACTTTACAGTATCCAAAGTATATATACATGATAATTTAAAGCTAAACTTTTCATTTAAGGGTGGAAAAGTAAGAAAATAAAAGCTTCAAAATCAAATAATTTAAATAATGGTGACTCCAGATTTTCCAATGTATGCCTTTATGAAATTTATTTGGACAGAAAAATTTCCAGCAGATTCTGTCACAGTGTTAAATACAGAAAAAGCTTTTTATTGCTCACTGGTCCATCTCTGAAAAGTAATGCTAAATTATTCGAAAATATGTAACAGAATAATCATAAAATATCATAGACTGCATGCAACACTGAGGACTTCAGTGCTACCAACACACGAAATCATCACCTTTGTCACTAACCCCTCACTCCTGCCCTGTACACAGTTCTCAGAGGAAAACCTTTAAAGTCGGTATCCGGCTGTTAAAAAGAGGGAAAACACTGCCCCCTTAAAATTTAAACAAAAGGCGTTTTTATCCCTTACAGGTGTAGGGTGATTAATGCAAACTAACAGCTTAGTCCTCAACATTAAACCCAAGTCACCATCACAAAAGAAAACTATTTCCCCATCCCCTGGAAGACGACACCAGCAGGCACTTAAAGCCAACGCAAAGCAACAGGGAAAGGAAAGATCCAAAACAGCACCACTAAGAAAGCAAAGCCCTTTGGAAAAGCAAAACAGGCTGGGAAAGACCTACTGCGTCGTTTGCTCATTGCGAGGAGGAGGAGCAGGAGTTGAGCGTGCGGGGGCTGCTGCCATCCTCAAGGCTCTGGAAATGTCTCGAGCTCCGGCCCGGGTGGCCTGGAGCCAGCCCCTCCGGAAGATGCGGTCTCTGCCGCTTCTGCCCCCATCTCCCGGGTGCTCTGAGGGTCCCCTTTAGCCGACGGACGGCCCGCGCCACGTACACAGCCCTTGCCCTTCCTGCTGTGCAAGTGGCCCTCGGATAACTTACATGGCCCGCCGGCCCGCGCCGCCCGCAGCGCAGACGCCACCCGTCGGGAGACGACCTGGGCGCAGCTCACAGTGGGGTGTGCGGGGGGGCTGTATTTTGCGCACATCTAGAAAACAATCCTGAGGCAGGGAACAGACTTTGGTTTTCCCTGGCTCCCGGCGCGGCTCTCCCCACCTAAGGCTCGGACACTGCCTGGAGATGCGCGCGCGCAAACACACATACACACACACACACACACACACACACTCTCTCTCTCTCTCTCTCTCTCTCTCTCTCTCTCTCTCTCTCTCACTCACTCATGCATTTCTTTGCTAGGACCAGTGTTGCCATTGCACACCCGGGAAACGCCTCCAAGGGGACCAAGTACCTGCTCTCTGCGAGCTGCTCAGCTGTTCACTTCATCCTCCGTTGACAAGGAAACCAAACCGCACTTCATTTTTTTTTTTTCCATAAAAACCTTCCACTGCCATCATTTGAAAATTGATTTACGGGAAGGGAAGGGAGAGAAATAAGGGATAATATAGATATAGATATCAGGATATCTATCATAAAATTATCTCGGTTTTTTAAAAAAGTCAAATGTGCAAAAGTCATAGTTAATTTAGAGGAAGAAAAAAGTATTTTGCTTAAAAATGATCCCAGTCACGAGCTGTAAGAAAAGTTTTATGTTATCAATGGGTATCAAAAACAGGAGGAAAAAAACGAATTTGTTTTCACCGGCTCCCAAAAAGGGCACAAAAATATAAAATTAATGTCTTTGCTCAGTGGTTTGCACCTTTATTGCAAGACCACAAACTTGTAAACACTGCCGTAAAATCCCACCTATACAAAAAATGTTATCAGAAAAAGAGTATGCAAAAAAAGAGTTAGAAACATGCTTTTTATTTTTACAGAGGAAAAAAATAGGCACCATACTTCACATCGCTTTTTCCATAAAACCAGTTGCACATTTTGCTGGACTTGGGAGACGCTCCCAGCGGGCACGGTCGCCGCGGACTCCCAGACACAGCGCCTTGTCTACAGAACGATCGCATGCTAGAAAAACTTGGATTCAGGAAAAGGCTCAAAACCATGCTCCTCCAGCTTTCCCAAATATAAACAATAATCAAAGAAGTGGAAAAAAAGAAA